CTACTAGACATCGATTCGAGCGGAGTTCTCCCTTCCATACCCCGCCAAAGTCACCGCGTCCGATTGAACCGAGTCTGGTGAAAAACGTCACGTTTTCAGGAGCAATGATGGGGGAATGGGATGGACCGAGTTTGAGAGATGTGTATGCTATCAAAACAAAAATTTGGTTATTATTAAAAATACTCTAATACTTGAAAAATCAAATACAAGCAATCTTTCACACTCTAAAACAGGGATAAGGCTACCCTTGGATAATCTATTCTACATTTCTTTCAAAATATAAAACGAAAGTGAAAGAGTATTCACCATAAAAGTATTTATAATTGTGTGTGTGGTTGTGGGAGGGGAGGTGAATTTGCAATTAAAAATAGCGTAAAGGTAAAATTTAAAACCTCAGTCAATTTAGTAGGCCTAGCAAGAATCTGATCAGAGAGAATAACGAAGCTCATAACCTTTCCTTTGGAAAATATACTATACTGGGAATAATTTAAATACAATAATTTCATTGATATTTACGATTTATTGTACAGTTTAGGGCAAAATGATCATCATTTAGTATACATTATTACAGATAATGGTGAGCTTGGGTCATCTGATAGCATTGTGAAAGAAAAGGTTTGGAATGGATCAGAAAAGGTTGATCATGTAGCATGTAAGTATTGGTGTGTACTGCAAAGTTCTGGAGTCATCAAAATAATAATAAATTTGGTCCAGTTTTGGTATAAAAGTACCGAGCACTGTACACAGAAATATGTTTATGGGACTACACAAATGGTGTCGGGGCTACCAACCTTGATTTCCTCATGTTTCTATGCTCATTACTCAGCCAGTACACATTTTCTACCAAAATTGTTTGGCAAATGACATTTGTAATCTTGAACATTCAGTGTAATTTTCGTTGGATTCTGTGAGAATTCATTTTCTTCTTTTTTAACCAGAACTCACCTTGTATTAATTTTGTAAAATTATGAGAGTTGTTAATGTTTGTTTGGCAACATACAAAGCAATAAGTATCTCCACTTTTTTTGTTTATTGGATGAATTTTATTGCATGTTTTTTCTTTGTAGTATTCCTCATTATAAACATTGGGACGAATTTACAGATTTTCTCACCTCTATCTCCGTTCTGAATCATCTCATACGCCATGTTGTCGTTTGCCTCATGGGATACGTTTCTTCCTTCTCTGCGAAAAAAAACAGTGGGATGTTTCTTAATAAGGCGTTTATATTGATAGTGTACTGTATATTGTACAGCGCCATCTCATAGCCATCTCTAACTAATTTCTAAATACTCGTATTGGAGCAGTTTTGCTCGTTTTATGTGTTATAGTGAATAGCCAATCCTTTTTACTTTGCGAAATATATCTTCATTCTGCGTTCGAATTGACTAGTATTCAATACCCTTGAATTTGAAGAGCTTCATATAGATACAAACTTAAGTTTCACCTCTCTTTTTAACATATTTAACATGTAACCACAAATACCATGATAAATTATATCGTCTTTCATTTGGTGGTTTCTCACATTATATTACATCCGAATATTGTTGGGTGTGTATGAACGTGCGTGCGAGTGGGCGCATGTGTTTGTGTGATCAATTATAAATTCATTTTCTGTTCAATATTTCGAACTGCTAAATACTAACCTAGAAACGGTTTTCGATGACTCTTCGAAACCTGCAGAAAGAAAAAGAAGAGGAAGAAGCAAATATAGAAACTTTGATGCATAAAATAGGTATATGACAAATTTATCAACAAGGAAGTAAACTTTAGTCTAAAGTAAATGGATCTCTATCCTGAGGTGTTGATATGGTATGGGTAAATACATTCAGGAAGGCGATAGATGTTATTATGTGCAAGAAAAAATACTTTCGCTATCGACTTCCGGTATTATGTTTCCTTTATCTCTTTAAGCAATACCAAGTCAATATGCTCATGCGCTTTCTTCTTCTTCTTCTTCTTTGGGTTAAGTCTACCTCCTTCACAGTTGAAGATTCTTGCAGACTGACGAGTGTGTGTGTGTGCTTTGATAAGGCATGTATCCTCATTACAAAGTCCATTGGAGAAGACTTAAAGGGATAGTTGAGTTCTGTTTTCAGACCGCAAATGCCTTCAAGTGCATGGTTATTGCTCTTTTTCTTATCTATGACATTTATAGTGCCCTTTTAGAACAAAAAATTGCTATGAAGGTAATTTTAGACCCCAAAATGTGTGAAATTTAGCCAATAGGATCATACCAAGTCAGCTCCACTTTTAAAAAAACATGGTGACCGTTAATTAATTATCTAATTAAAAATAACAATACATGAGCCGGCTAATTGTGAGTAATAAAAGCAACACGAAAATGCCAATAAAAAAGCCAAAATCGGCATTGGCTGAAATACGACGTAAAAGGCGTTATTTCGTGTTTTTTTCAACGGTTTTTTTCAAATTTTTCAAAATGTCTAATATTTGTGGAGGTACACAAGTATTATAAATTGTTATATTTCAGCCGTCTCTGAACCGATTTTGATCAAATAAAGATGATTTTGTCATTTAAATATTATGTTCTTTCAAATTAGACACTCATTTTTTCATTATCTCACAAAAAATTATTTTGTGTAGCGCCCTCTGCAACAGAACTCAACTATTCCTTTAAAGTCGTCATTGCTGTGGTTGATTACAATGTATTTACAAGCGTACACCTACTTTCTAAGCAATCAGGTAAAACAATCATGAAACAAACATTTACATAGCTTTTATTTGTTCTGACTCCATCTTTCAACTATTCTATTAGAATTGATGAATATAGTCACCTGGTCTGGTCTCCTGTCTCCTCAACATGATGAATTGAATGATGTTGATGATAACAGAAGCCACTAACAGGATGACTAAGACAGCAATACCTGCAGAAGCCCCAGAACTCAGACCAGTTGGCACACATGTACCTGGTGTGGTTTCTAAATGATGAGCAATGTTTCATACAAGATTTATCCTAAACCTAACCTAAAACCTTATCGAAACCGCAACTCTTACCCTGCACCTAACCTAAAACCCAATCGCAGCCCTAACCCTAACCGTTACTTTAAACCTAACCTAAAACCCAATTGCAACCCTAACCCTTACTCTCATCTTAACCTGAAACCGAATCGCAACCCTAACCCTTACTCTAAACCTAACCTTTAACCCTATCGCAACCTTTACCCTTACCCTCACTCTAAACCTAACTTAAAACCCAAATCGCAACCCTAACCCTTACTTTAAACCTAATCTAAGACCCAATCGAAAACCCTAACCCTAACCCTAAACCTAACCTAAAACCTAATTGCAATCCTAAAACTAACCCTAAATCTAAACCTAACCGTAAACCCAATCGCAACCCTAACACTAACACTTACTCTAAACCTAGCCGTAAACCAAATCGCAACCCTAACCCTTACTCTAAACCCTACCTAAAACCCAATTGCAACTCTTACCCTATATTACTGAGGAAAAATACCAGTAAAAAAATTCGTCAAAGCAAATGTAAATTCACATACCAATAATATAACAAACAGGTATCTATAGATATATAACAACTTTAAGAATAAAATTTATACCCAATAACTGTAATTTAAAATATACAATAACGAACGTGCTTAAGCCATAAAAAAAAAAAAATAGTGACAAATAAAATAATAATCAGTTTCATTCTAAATATGAAATAATTTAAGATTTAAAAATCAGTTCACATTCTACCAACAGCAACCCTGATTCGTTCTATAGTAGTATATTATTCAGATACTGAATCAAATAAATAATCAGGGGAATTCCCGATTTAATTCATTGCGATCAAACAGGAACCTCCTGATGAAATTGAGGAACAGTTTTTGTTAAATGCGTTTTCACCTACTATACAGAGTGAGTCAGAAAAAATGTCCCACTTTTTAAAAGTTGTATTGTTTGAAGTATGAATATCAAATCATAGGTTTCATGATATGTCTTGATAGAGTTGTCCTCCCAGTACATCTAGATACCATTTTCATTTGAATCTCTGCATGCATGACTGAACATCAGACGATCTTTACAAGACTGCCAGATCTCACTTGCGCCAAGTTACTGGGTGAGGAATAAAACAGTGTATTGAACAAAGACAGTCAAACAGACACACACCCGCACACACACGCACACACAAACGCACACACACACACACAACACACACGCTGACAATCGTTTTATAACTTCCCTTTTTCTGATTAAGCATTGATTTCTATCAAGATCGATCGCTGAATGTTTAAGTGGCATAACCCTGACAATCTTTCCCTTTAGTACACATTCACTACCACCATCATGTCATCATCATCATCATTGTCATCTTCATCATCATTATCATAATCATCATCATCATTATCATGGACAGCGGCAACTCAATTTTTCGTACGAGAAGAAAATTTCCCGACAAAAAGTAACAGTTTTAATAATAATAATAATAGCTCTTTCTTATATAGTTTTGGTGGGCCTTGTCGGGAATGGAACGCTCATTTGTGTGCGTGTGTGTGTGTGTGTGTTCGTGCGTGTGTTGTGTTTTGTCTGTCTGGCTGTCTTTGTTCAAAACACTATTTTATTCCTCACCTAGCAACTTGGCACAAGTGAGATCTGGCAATCTTGTAAAGATTGTCTAATGTTCAGTCATGCATGCAGAGATTCAAATGAAAATGGTACCTAAATGTACTGGGAGGATAATTCTATCAAGACCTATCATGAAACCCATGATTAAATATTCATACTTCAAACAATACAACTTTTAAAAAGTGGGTGATTTTTTTCTGACTCACTCTGTATATGATGCCTCACTACAATCATAGCTTAAACAGGACTTTGAACTCTGGTCTGTGTTCACAAATATACTGTAGGCTAATATTTGCTGAAGTAACAGGGGAACAATATACATTGCTTGGATGAATACACATCCTTTGACATTGATCTCTCTGATATTTGTTTATCACATATCATAATTTGCAATGGCATAGTTTAATACAATGGCTTATTCATCTGGTGCTTAAAGTGATGAAATTACTTATATTGTTAAGATTGAACAGAAAGTCTCAGTTTACACTCCAATCGAATTGCTAAATTGTTATGTGAATTAAAGCTTGTTCCTTCCCTATATGTAAGCTCCGTTCATTCACGTTCTATTTAAGATGGTAATATGAAGAGTGGATAGGTGTTGTATACAAACTCAACATTAAATGTCACTTCTTTGTGTTTATTCATGATAACTATTTACCCCGCATGATGTTGTCTATTACTTTCTGAAGTCAACGTTATGACATAATACGCGCATACATCGAATAAAGCAATATACAACAAATGAAAGTCATACATTCAATTTCCTCATCTGATTGAAATGAATTGTTCACCTATTCATCATTGTTTAAATTTGGAGAGATAATATTCAAAATAACAAACTTTGGTAGATTAAGTTAGTCATTTGTTACAATAAATCATTACACAAAGTAAGCTAGATTCTTGTAAGTCAAACAAAGATTTGTTTTCAACACAGATGTCAATGTTCAATTTATTTCAACAACAAAAAAACAAACAAATGAGAATAACACAAAAATAATTCCTCTCACCTGACGAACTTGTAGTTGTTCTTTCCGTTTCAATTGTTTCTAGTGTTGTGAGAGCATATACATAAACGTTAGAATTATCATACTGTATATGGAGGATACTTATTTTTAAATGTATTTTTTGTCAGTTTCAAAGAGAACACGGAGCATCCTATTTTTAAAGCTTACAGAGTACAGAACAACAGAAAAATATTCAAAGAGTATTATATGTCTAAAACGATTAAAATCGAAGGCAGTATTTATAAGGCACCTGCTGTTAAGTGCATATGGCTGCTGTAATACAAGCGAAGAAAGCCAACTTACATATATTAAAACATATTAAATGTACCTCTGAAGGGTGTCCTTTCTAAATCCATTTCATATACTATCAGAATATTTTATTTTATACTTAACAAGTTACACAATAGCAAGTTAAATTACCACAGTCAATTTAGTATCAAAGTTATGTTTAAAAGCGAACCTTTCATGTATGTTTTAAAGAGAAATATAGGGTGTTAATGTTAATGTATGAAGAGCCTGGTGTGTACAAAAAAACATTACTTGCCAGATTCAATACGACACATGAAAAAGCTTTATCCAATAAAATGAATGATGATAGAACGAAAGAAAAATATGGACATACCGGTCATTGAAGGAGGGGTGGTTGGTCCTGTTTATGGTATGGAAAAGAGCAAAAAGAAAATAAAACAAATAAAACAGGAGATGTTAGATTAAATAGCTGTTTGCATGACACATGAAATATCTTACCCAAGAAAATATTAAGTTAAGTTCATGTTCACTCCATCTAGGCCTATGTTTGGAAATAACTAACTAAGTTGTGCTACAGTTTTGTGCATTCCTTTTTTTACCTTTGTACTCATACTCAGAATAAAAGGATGAATAATATTTATAGTTAAAAAGATAAATATTCATGGCTACAAATCCTTACATTTTTGACAACTCTGATGTATCTTTCGAGAGTTAATTCACTCTCCGATTATATGTTTTTTTTATATTTACAATGGGACAGTGCAGTTATGTATATCACATGAAAATTCTCACACACGGGTCCTTTTCAGAACGATTCACGACCGAAGCTCAATTACACATAATACATGGATGGCTGAGGATTACTCTAAAAGCACTCATACGGCTGTATGGTTGCTAAAACAGGTTCTGTCAAGATCATTCAGAACACGAAAGCGAATTTACCGTTATCAAACATCAATGATCTGAGCCCTGTATCATAAAGAGTCGCGATTACTCTGAATCAATCACAGCTTAATATTAATCGAAACTGTTACTAAGAAATATGAGAATGAGAATTAGCATGAGAACTTAAGCATACTCGTACTCGATAACAAAAAAAATCATTGTACATTTTGTAGATATCTTTGCAACAGCTCCGTCATACATATGTTTTGCAGGTAAAAAGCATAACAAACAAGAAATGGGGGCATATAGAGGTACCTCGAGACAAACAAGAAATGAACATGCTTCATATTTCATTTGAGGTTAAAATGTAAAATGCAGATTGTTGTACTTTTGTGGGATAGTTTGATCCTCTGGTTTGATGAACAAACTGTACATTTTGTGTGACAGTAGAGAATGCAAAGTAGCGAACGAAACCTTTCCCACATGTTAATGTGGCTTTACAGTGGTCTTTAATACCACCTGCAACATGCACCCACAACGTCAAGAAATCAATTTCTTTCAAATGAATTATATTTTCCGCTCCTTGGATGCCCTCCTCTGCAGTCCTTTCGCTTTCACCACTCCCAGTACGTCTCCCTCTCTCTCTGTCACCACGCACCCCTCCCTCCCCTTTGTCTCCCCCCCCCCCATTTCACTCCCTCTCATCCTCTCTCTCCCTCCTTCTGTCTGCCTCTTTCTCCCTCCACCAGCTCTCTCTCTCTCTCTCATTCTCTCTTCCTCTTTGTTTCCCTCTGTCTCTCTTTCTCCCCCTCTCTAGGTTCTCCCTCTCTCCCTTCCTCTTTATCTATCTATACCTCTCTCTCTCTATTCCTCTCTTTCTCCATCTCCCCCATACATGTATGTGTGAGGGTGGGTATATGAGGGATGTACATACACATGTATATAATAATGTGATTTGTATTGCAACACCACCATAATATACTTCACAAATATGAACAATTATATTTGTAAGTGGCATGTGTCATGTACATGTAAATTCATTTTAATGGAGATCTGTGATCTGGTTTGAATTCAAATTCTGACAGCAAATTTGAATATCTTGAGCTCAACTTCATCATTATTCAGTGAGTGCTCAATGGGTAGATGAGGGGGGGGGGGGTTCTCGTTACCGCTCTCCATCTTGCCCAGTCTATAGCCATTTTCGTGTCAACGTCTTCCTTAATTCTATCCACCTCTTCCTATGTCTTTCTTTCTTTCTCCTTTCTCTCTGCTGCCCATCTAATCAGTTCATCTTCGCACTCTCTCTCTCTCTCTCTCTCTCTCTTATCTTCTCCCTTATCACAGTCACTTTAACTTCCTTTTGCACCCCATCATTTTGCCTCCTCTCATTAACTTTACATTACAACACAAACTTCTCTTCCAGATTTACACTTTAAACACAACTTGAACATAGAAAACAAGGAGGGCTATTGAAACCTAAAAAAATCTGTTTAAATAAAAGCTTATTTTGGAACAATGACTGCATTCATATAAGAGGGAAATCTATACAGATTAATAAGCCAGTAAATAAATAATGATAATAATAATAATAGCTTACATTTATAATGCGCCTAATACTTTGTTTCTAGGCGCGGAACATATTATTACCCCGGTCATCGGATTCAGGCTTATAAGATCGATAAAAAAAAAATTGGCTGATTTTTTATGACAAAAATAAGTTTTGGGCTATCAAATGTTCAACAAAAATTCATGGCTGGGATTATTTTGTCATTTGGAGTTGTTGTAGACCATGTTTGTTGATATTTAGTGCCTTTTCATGACTTTAAAATTAATAATATTGGTCTAAGAGAAGAGGCAAAACATGCAGGCCGCCATCTTGGATTATAATGTAGGCATGCATTATAATCCAAGATGGCATTAAAAAATTAAAAAAAAATAAAATAAAATTGCTGATTTTTTTCCGATCATTTTTATTGATCGGCGATCGGAAATTATTATCCAATCACCCCTGATCGGATCGGTATCGGCGTCCGATCCGATGATCGTTTACAGGGTTATTATCAGGGATTGTGTCTGGTACATGGGTTATACAGTATTTCATGACAATCATAGTGTAATACTGAACTGTTGGTTTAGGTCATTTCAACATACCGGTACACCAGACTTCCCTAAAGACCTTGTGCGCATGAGCATGACTCTTTCATGAATATCGCAAGTGGTCTATATTTGCAAAACTTTCATGCCACGTGACTACATTTTTATCTATAGTGAACAAGGTGCATTTTTGCAACTTGAAAACTATATTGCTGTAAAAATTGCTATGACCAACAATTTCAAAAAAAGTCTCATGCCATGAGAGTTTCTGGTATTACAACAGCAGATGATCACAAAAACATGTCACATCTGTTAAACAATTAAACCCTCCAAGACATAAAGAAAAAGGATTTACTCAGAAAAGATTAATGAATGCAAATATGACTTGTAGATTGAAAAAGTGTACCCAAGCAACAAGATGGTTTGATTGAGTTTGAATAATGGTTTGATACATCAACAAGATCAAATCATTCCACACTAATCATGACATCATAATAAACACATCAATTAAGCACAATAAAGTTCACTATACCTCAACACATGAAGCATCAATAAGACACACATACTAAATTGAACTTCATCAATAAATGCGCAAACATGTACACACTTTCTCAACATTCCTTCATTAGGAAGTGGATTTAGACTTCAATTTAAAGTTGAACAGAACATCACACTTTTTATCGAAATGATCTAATCGAGATTTGGATGGTTCTTCACCCCTCTCTCCACTCCCAAGGTCACACCAAACACATCTTACCAACACAACAATAAAAAGGAAAAAGATGTGGACAAAAAATGCTCATCTCTGACATCAGTGACATACATGTACATGTACACAAAATAAAGAAAAATGACTTACTTCTTGGGTCATATGGTACTGCTGCACTTAGTGCTGTATTTCCAAGGTAATTGCCAGCCATACAAGTGTACTGTGTACCCTCTATAGGATCTGAAACAGAGACAGTGTTGACTCCTTCCATAGATTCATGTATCGATTCGCCATTGGAGAATATGGAGTAGATTCTCATGGCTGGGCTAGGTTGGATTAGGGCAGTACATGACACTGTGATGCCTGCTCCTTGGGTTACATAATCTACAGTGACAGTGAAATCAGCAGCAGATTCTGGGTTGGTAAGAGAGAAATGAGAAAAATTAAATTCATCTAAAGCTATTAAGTAGTTTTAAAAGAATGTATGATACTTCACCTCAATGGAGACCTAAGGTTTCTGCTTTAAAAAAAATTGTAGATTAAATTTAATCCAATCTGATCTCTCAGTGCCATATATACATGTGCATGTACATGTACATACTGTTCAATGTTTGTTTCTATATGAATATCGCCTTATACTGCGGTTTCAAATAACTTAATATGGCCAAGACGAACAGGTTGAATTCGGACCTTTCAAAGCCTGCTACTAAAAAGTTTTTTTATTTTGGCTATGACCATTCAAAACTCCAGACTAAGTAAATTTTGCATAAAATCTTAACTGAGCATCTTTTATCTTCACGATTTATTATCCAAATAAAAATATAGTTGCTATCCCAATAAACAAAATCACGTGAAAATCACGTCAATATCAAGGTATCGACTTGAGGAGAGTTACGTTCTTCAAACACCGGACATTTACGTAAATGTGTTAATACGTTTATTGCATTAGGTAACTTGAAACACACGTACACTAAATCACGCAATTGTCACTGCAATATCACCATTATAATAACGTGATTATCCCTACCTTGGAGACCATGGTTTGTAAACCTAATACTCCCGTGTTTGTTTGGTTATAAAATTACATCTTCATACACGAAATTATCGCGTCACAGAAACACGTGAAGCGTTAGTGATAGTTTTAGTCAAAATATCTGCGTGAAATTCACGTGAATATTACGAGGCTGACTTGAGATGAATCATGTTCTTCATTCACGTGAAATTTACGTCGAAGAGGAAGTATGTTGCTGTAACCCGCGTTCAACCCAATAATTACGCAAATGTTACACAAAAAATGAACCAAAATAATGACGTTCTCATCCCGTTTCTGAACATCGTGTCTTGGATCTTCCATAATTACGTCCAGGCGCGCCGGAAGCAGTTTGGGATTAGAGGGGGTTGGGTGTGGGGGGGGGGGGGGTGCAAACATCCCAGAAGAGAAAGCTAGTTGCAACTGGTCCAGTTGATGAACCATTTAATGCCAACTGGTAACCCTGGAAATTGAAATGGGCTAAATGATCCAGTTGATCCAGGCCAGTTATAATTCAACTGGTCTAGCTGAGCCATTAGAACCATTTGGTAAAACTTCCAACCAGTTGAACAGCAACAATACTTCAATACTGGTACGTCTGTATTTCCAATGTAAGGGCATTGGTAATAAGTAGACTTACATAATTGAATTAATCGAACAAATTTCGTATACTTGTACTTTATTGAAATTATTTTAGTTCACAGTTAATGTTTCCCTTATTCATGTTTAACTATTTATACGAAGTAGCGAAATGTCATAATAACTGGTAATTTATATTTGTAATATTTTCGAAATGACTTGCATATAACTAAATCATCAGTAATTAAGAAATATGCTGTAAATTCATATAAATTGTTTAAAAAACATAGATCTGCACGCACCCCATATTCAATATGCAAATGAATTGGTGTCAGCTGGGTCAACTCGAAATATGCCAACGCTCAGTCATCAACTGGTGCAACTGGAAATATGCACACTCCAGTTATCAACTGGTGCAATGAAAATATGCCAACAGTCAGTTATCAACTGGTGAAAATAGAAATATGCCAACAGTCACGGGATTATCACCACGGAACTTAAATGGTAACTGTGAAACCATCAAGACACCCAAGAATAACTCATTTTCACACATGGAAAACACGGAATACCCAGCTTATATTAATAATCCGTTTGAGTCACGCGATCATCACCGCGGAACTGCTGGCAACTTCGACTACGATTTAAATAGGTGTTTTAAGACACCTAATCATGACTAATTTTTCACACCTAAAAGTCACGTATGCCCAGCTTAGATTAATAATCCGTTTGAGTCACGAGATCATCACCGCGGAACTTATGGCAGTTTTGACTTCCATTTAAATAGGTGTTTTAAGACACCAAATAATTACTAATTTTTCACACCTAAATATCACGGATTCACAGCTTAGATTAGAAATCAGTTTTAACTACGTGATCATCACCAAGAAAGTTATGGTAACTTTGAAACCATTTAAATAGGTGTTTTAAGACACCTAATAATGACTAATTTTTCACACCTAAAAGTCACGTATGCCCTGCTTAGATTAATATTCCGTTTGAGTCACGAGATCATTACCGCGGAACTGCTGGCAACTTTGACTACCATTTAAATAGGTGTTTTAAAACACTTAATAATTACTCATTTTCACACCTACATATCACGTTTTCACAGCTTAGATTAGTAATCAGCTTGAGCCACGTGATCATAACCAAGAAATTTATGGTAACTTTGAAACCTTTTAAAGAGGTGTGTAAGACACCTCAGAATTACTAGTCGAATATAACCAGAGATTCACGGACAGAACAATAAGACGATTAGCCGGTGTAAGTAACGTGATTATTACCATCAACCTTGGATAACCTGTGAAACCAATCAATAAAGGTGCTTACAAGACCAAATAATTACGTATTTATCGCCACCATCGGTTAACTGACAAAAAACTCGTTGCTTGGTCAAGTGGTTATTTGGTCATAAACACTTGATTTACAGAGGTAAATGGAATCACGTTACTCCAGTCGCCTGATAAACTGGTGATTTTTAGGTTAGATGAAAACGTGAACAGAAGTACCTTTTTTGTTTAAATTAAGGCACGTGTTGATAACGTTTAAATCTAGTTCAAAAGGCACTATACTTTAAAATCACTTAAAATACACTCCCAAAAGAGGTTACTTTTTGGTGTTCTGTTTATTGGGATACTCATTCAAATCTGAATATTAATTACTCCTGTATATAATAGGTATGAGGACAACGTTTTTTCCATGCGGTTTATTTCCCTAAATAAAAACATAGGTTTACTGACTGTACTGTCTGTACATGAAAATGCTTGTATTATCCCAAACATGTAACAGATATAAACAATGAAAACATTTGCCTTCTTCTATCCAAAATTTAAATGATACTTACCATGAATATCTAAATCTATAGATTTATCTCCATTCAGCTCTGTAAGCACATCATGTCCAGAGACTTGACAAACCAAGGTCTGTCTATAATTCTCTAGAGTTGCAGGAAATGTGAACACGCTCTTTGAGTTAGATAAAGGTGCTGTAGCTGTTGGGTTTGTATCAACTATCGTGTTCCCATTGCCATCAGTCTGTGTAACTCCATTGAGAATCCATGTAATAGTCTCTTGTGGCTTGCCTCCAACAGCATCACATGTTGCTACGTACATATCCACATTGTCTGTCACGATACTAGTCAGAGTCAATGTCTTAGTAGATGCAACTAGAAGTAGGAAGAAACAATGGCGGATGTCTTAACCCATTGACTACTGAATTCTCTCATTCCCATATGCTTGTATACAGGAGTCACCTGGTTCATATAGACAAGGGGTTAATCAGCTGTAGATATACTTTTCTTGTTATCATTATAAAAGGTAATATAATGATGTAGCAAATAAAAAGAACCATTATCTCAAGTAGTATAAAATGCCCAGGCGCGGATCCAGGGGGGCCGAGCGAGGAGAGAAAGGGAAAGAAAGAAGAGGAAGAAGAAAAGAAAAGAGGGAAGAAGGAGATAGGGGGGCCGAAAGGGTCTTGCCTCCCAGGCTGTTGCCCCCCCCCCCCCATCAAACAAAAAATTGGAAGGAAGGAAAGGGAAAGACAAAAGGAAAAGAGGAGATACTGGCGTACTGGTAAGGGGGGGGGGGGGGGGCTTAGGGGAAATCAAATTCAAACGTGTTTTATTTCTAATTCCATAATTGTGGATTACAAATAATGCTGAAATTACATAATTTCCGAGATTTTTCCTCACTTTTTAGTAAATTATACTTTTTTATGCGTTTGTTGGAAAATGACAAATTCCTAAATTTAGAGCTAGACAAGAAATGTGATTCTTGAGATTCCTACATGTCAGGGCCCGAGGAACGGCGGGAATTGGGAGCCTCGAGCCCCCCCCCCACACTTTAACAAAAAAGTATATTAAAGAGAAATAAAAAAAGAAAGAGAGCAAGAAAGAAAAAATAGTTAACTGCCGGTGTCAACAAATAATGAGGCATCAAAATATGATCATCTGTCCGTGATTAAATGCCTAAAACCCCTAAGCTTCCGGGGCTCTGCCCCATGAATTCCACCTAGGGCCCTAAGTTGGGCCCTTCGATGCTCATCTGACGGTTATTTAATGCCTAAAACCCCTGATTTTGGGGGGCTCCGCCCCCTGGACCCCACGGCAAATAGTGTCCTGCCAGTGTCACAAAATAATAAGGATTATAAAAAAATGCTCATCTCACCGTAAATAAAAGCCTAAAACCCCTGAGCTTCCAGGGCTCTGCCCCCTGGATTCCATCTTGGGCCCTAAGGCGGGCCCTTAGATGCTCAGCTGACGGTAATGTAATGCCTAAAACCCCAGATTTTGGGGAGCTTCGCCCCCTTGACCCCACGCCTAAGTGTCCTGCCAGTGTGACAAAATAATAAGGATTATAAGAAAATGCTCATCTGACCGAAATTAAACGCCTAAAACCCCTGAGCTTCCGGGACTCTGCCTCCTGGATCCACCTTGGGCCCTAAGGCGGGCCCTTAGATGCTCAGCTGACGGTAATTTAATGCCTAAAACCCCTGAGCTTCCGGGGGCTCCACCGCCTCGACCCCACTAGGGGCCCTAAGGCGGCCCCTGAATGCTTATCTGACCGTAATTTATTGCCTTAAACGTCTGAGCTTCCGGGGTCGGACAAGGTTTCAAAATGTGTTAATCTGACCGCAGGCGCGTAGCAAGCGGGGCGGTGGGGGCGGTCCCCAAACAAGCACCGCCCCCCCCCCCCCCTTAAAAAAGGGGGGGAACCTGAATTCAGACGAGGATTAAGAGTCGAGAACTGTACAACGAATCGTCTTGTTTCTCTAATTATTTAATGAAACGTAAAAGCTTCCGCGCTTCGCGCGGGAAGAGGGAACCTGAATTCAGACAAGGAATTAAGAGTCGAGAACTGTTCAACGAATCGTCTTGTTTCTCTAATTATTTAATGAAACGTAAAAGCTTCCGCGCTTTGCGCGGGAAGGGGGAACCTGAATTCAGACGAGGAATTAAGAGTCGAGAACTGTACAACGAATCGTCTTCGAAATCTAATGATTTAATGAATCGTAAAAGCTTCCGCGCTTCGCGCGGGAGGGGCCGGGGGGGGGGGGGGAACTGAATTCAGATGAGGACTATTTTCAAGAACGGCACAACGAATCATCTTCATTCTCTAATAAGTGAAAAATTCCGCGCTTTGCGCGGAAGGGGGCTGAGACAATAAATTTAGACAAGGAATAGGGCCGAACGCGGTACAACGAATCGTCTTCTTTCTCTAATAATTAAAAAAAGTCAAATCTTAATTCCGCGCTTCGCGCAGGAGGGGGCGGGGAACCTGAATTCAGACGAGGATTAAGAGTCGAGAACTGTAGAACGAATCGTCTTGTTTCTCTAATTATTTAATGAAACGTAAAAGCTTCAGCGCTTCGCGCGGGAAGAGGGAACCTGAATTCAGACGAGGAATTAAGAGTCGAGAACTGTTCAACGAATCGTCTTGTTTCTCTAATTATTTAATGAAACGTAAAAGCTTCAGCGCTTCGCGCGGGAAGAGGGAACCTGAATTCAGACGAGGAATTAAGAGTCGAGAACTGTACAACGAATCGTCTTCGAAATCTAATGATTTAATGAATTGTAAAAGCTTCCGCGCTTCGCGCGGGAGGGGCCGGGGGGGGGGGGGGAACTGAATTCAGATGAGGACTATTTTCAAGAACGGAACAACGAATTATCTTCATTCTCTAATAAGTGAAAAATTCCGCGCTTTGCGCGGAAGGGGGCTGAGAAAATGAATTTAGACAAGGATTAGGGCCGAACGCGGTACAACGAATCGTCTTCTTTCTCTAGTAATTGAAAACGTCAAATCTTAAAGGTAATACAAAGTTTTGGGAAATTTTAAAAATTGGGTGGATAGCGATTCTTTACAATTTTGATATATTTGGATGCCCATGTGGATGTATTACAAGCACTGCAAAATTTAGCCCCTAAAACACTTCTGCTTTCGAGAAAATTTGAATATAACAATTTACCGGTGCTCCCGGTAAATTTTGATAAATTTCAAATAGCGCCTAAGGCCGAACCATGGTAGCTGCGACCCTGAAAATTTCAGAATATGTAGTTCTGATATAATTTCCAAACGGGAAAAGCTAATCGGTCGATTTTAGTCAAGAAACATTGTTTTACAGCTTAATTAATATCTTGACCTTGAGAGGGAGCTATACAACATAAAGAGTGTATTATTTACAATTTCATAACTTTAGACTCGATTTCAACCGCGAAAACGATCAATGAATATTGTAGGATCGCATATGCTTCAAATATGTTCATTTGAACCAAATTGATGACCTCATACCAAAACTTTGTATTACCTTTAAGTCCGCGCTTCGCGCAGGAGGGGGCGGGGAAAATGAATTCAGACGAGGATTATTTTCGAGAACGGTACAACGAATCGTCTTGTTTCTCTAATGATTTAATGAACCGTAAAAGCTTCCGCGTTTCGCGGAGGAGAGAGGGGGAAACTCGCCCCTCCCTGCACCCACCCCCCCCCCCCGAATTACGTCACTGCTGGTCACCATTACGTACCAATTTTTGGCTCGCATAATTTCAAATTTGCCCCCCCCCCCACTAAGAAATCCTGGATCCGCGCCTAAAAATTCTATAGTGTGAGTCCTGCTTAAAGGGCAAATCAACCCTTGTAATAAGTTGATTTGAATGAAAGCAGTAGAATAACAGAAACAGAATGGCAAAAGTTTGAAATGAATCAGACTAATAGTAAGGAAGTTATGAATGTTTGAAATAAGAGATCACTAAGTCTTTGCGAATCTCAAATTGATAGTTTGATCGTGTTGTTACTATATCTTCACCTAGCCGATTTCTTTTCTCAAATAAAGACTAAGATACCTTGCATGCCTAAATTGCATTTATTGTGCTCACCTTCTACCACCAGATTAATATCATCGCCAGTGGGGTCTGTTGGGAGAACACATCTATAGTCCCCATCATCCTCGACTTCTGCATTCGCAATCGTCATCACAGATTCAGTTGGTGATAATGACGTCACATCAAAATTATTGTATTTAGATATATCAGTGAGAGAGGTGGTTCCTAAATAGATAATTTGAGTTCCACCTCCAGTAACATCAATCCATTGAATCCTGTCTGTTGATCCACCATTCACAGTGCATGTGAGTGCAGTAGTACTGTCAGCTGCTACTTCGGGAAAACCTGACACAGTTGCCGTTTGACCACTGGTTGCTAGAAAAGGAAAATAACTCTTGAACAATGAAGAAATTAATACCTGTGTATAAATGGCTTTTTTACGGTCACTCTCATCACACTGAATTCACTTGAATTGAGTTTAAGAAACATTTAGATATTACAAACAATATACAGTGAAATGTATATATAGGTTTAAACAATATAAAGAAAAAGAGTTGTTGTGTAGAAAAAATAGGTACATTGTAATAAAGCATGTTAAAGGACAAGTCCACTCGAAAAATAACTTACTTTCAATAAAAGCAAAACAATCAGACAAACCAATCAAAAACAAGTTTGAGCAAAATCGGATAACTAATATTAAAGAAAGTTATGAATTTTTGAAAAAGTTTGTAAAACTATGGAACAATGAGAATCACAACACAAATTGCCAAGATGGGAATCAGTTTGTGACGTCATGTCCTCACTATTTATCAATTGCTTTATATACTTTAATCCCATTAATTTCCCTTTTTATTCCCCATACCTTTGCCCAGGTTATATGATTTGTATCATATTGCGTGCATGACATTTCACAAAATCTTTATGAACTTTGAAGAATTTATACTATTTTCTGAATATTTTATATTCATAATTATTGATTTTCATATAAATATTTTATCAAATTTCACATTTTTCATGATTTAACTGGAAAAAATACTCTATATTAGTGCATCCACACAAAAACATATTACTATCAATCTAACTTGGATGCTGGGGTGAAGAAATAAGATTCTTAAGGAGGAAACAGGAAATTTATATCATCAATATAAAGAAAATAATTAGTGGATAGTGGGGACATGACGTCACAGACTCATGAGTGAGTTGCCAATATGTCTAGTGATTTTCAAAGTTTTCCATGTCATTAAAAATTCATAACTCTCTTATTAGTTATCCGATTTCGCTCAAACTTGTTTTGATTGGTTAGTCTGATTTTTCTGCTTGTATTGAAAGTAATTTATTTTTGGAGTTGACTTGGGCTATAAGCATTAAACGGCAATAATAACAATCATATTGATCGCAAAACCACGAACCGAAAAGTAGGCCTAATCTTCTATCCCTGGGCAACGTCATGGGAATTTGTGTATAGAGGACCCCTATTGGAGCTTTTACCTCCATCTGAATATTCTTGAATCAATCTATTCTAACAGTTGAACTTTTAGTTAAAGATTTATTTCAGCCAAACCGACTTCACACCCGGCTCCAAACCGACCTGTTCCTGACCACTCAAGCTTAATGTAAACAAATGTTGGTATGTGTAGTAAGTCTGATGCCGGTTTTGTTGAAGTGACTACGTTATTAGAAAACTTTGAAAATCAAATGATGGTATTCGAAAAGAAAAAAAGTCATTATGATTATCAATGAATTACCAAGTAAATGTCCATTGTGTTAAGGATTTATATGAAAGTGCTGATCATTTGAATATGCATGTAATATTCTGAGTGCATTTGGCAGTATTGATGTGTTTTTGTCATTTTAGTTCGAATATCGACCTTTCATTGCAGGGGAAAATAGACATGAATTTTTTGAAAATGTGTTCATAATATATGACTATAATAGAGAACTATTTACTATTCATGTTTCGTAGCAACAGAGGTCGGTTCATATTACCAACCTATTCATCATACTCTCCTTACGTAATATCAGATGTGTATTTAATAAAGAGATGAATTAATAACTATTTACCATGAACAAGCGCAAGGACTGCAAAAACCTGCAATGCATTCAAACCATCCATTCTAAACGGGTCGATTGCCGATGTCTCCTTGAAGAGATTTCTTGTCATTTTTTTTTGTTCTGCTTGAGGAGAACGTCAGTTGAATCCTTTTGGCTTCATATCATTACCAAATCTATTTTGCAAGACAGATCTGGGTTTAAAAGTAAAAATATCTCAAAATGAATAAACGTGTTTCAAATTATATAGAGCGGTTTACTAATTGCACCATACTTTTTGAAGATAGGATTCCCTACACAACTCAAAAACTTGCCGCACATGGCAACACTTAATGTAGGCAAAGTGGACTCCACCTATAAATATATAATTATGTAAAGCAGGGGAATCAAATAGTAAGTAACCAGGGATTTTGGATTTTTTTTTTTTTAACATAAGGAATATAGGATAACTAATTAGAAAGTTACGCAATTTTGAAAAACTTAGCGGAAGACCATGACCATCACTGGAAAATTTAGTAATTCACTCCTCACGCGCCTATTTTATGAAAGTTGAATTCACGTCCGATACGCGTTTGAATGATGAGTCGGAGAGTTATGGAAAAAAAAACCTGCCAAATGCTTTACCGTTTATAGACGGAAATTTCGTCACAAATGAAAGGAAACGAAAACGATTTACAAGGTCGAGCGTCTAGTCACCCTTACGTGACTAGTCTGTTTACCATACACAAAGGCACATAATTGTATTGTCCCTGTTCTTTGGAAATTCGCTCGACAAGTGAATGCATAATGCGTTCTTTTAGAATCGTAAAAGTCTAGCTGGTACATGTATAAGTCGAATTCTAGATTGGAGTGCAATCAGAATGACCAACTGCATGCGGAAGTTACCAACAGGAAAGCTCTATAAAATGTATATTTAAACTGCAATTAAGTATAATAGTCATATATTTGCCCTCTAGAGTTCAATATCAGTAACATAGTAGTGAAATCATGAATACAAAGTAATGAGAAGATCACACTTACCATTACAGCTACCCTCAAGATTCCATACACATGTTAATAATGCTACAGAAACTCTTATATTTGGTAATAATCAAGTAAATCCACGGTCACAATTAATATGAGCGATTACATAAATTGAATTCCGCATGCCGTGTGAGGGCGTATTGCAAACAAGTTCTACTCCGTTGTTGTTTCGTCAACATATAATGTTGGAGACCATAGGCCATACATCATAATAAATTATATAACGACATTACAAGGAATCATATCAATGCAAATGTTAACTATCAGGACTCGTTTTGGCAAACCATGAAATTGTCATGAAATTTGATCGTGAAATTGTTTGTTTGGGGGATAAGACTCAAAACCTGTCATATTGCTAACGATCTATAATTAGACTGTGAAAAGGGGGGGGGGAGTGGCAGAGGGGGCATATTCGGAGTACCCGCCCCCCCCCCCTCCATAATTCAAGATTTTTTTTTTTGTGGGGGGGGGGGGGGGGGGGACTCGCATAAAAAAAGAAGTTACATGTAATTATTTTTCATAACACCTATGTATCATAAGTTTTTAGTGCTCCCGGTATGTAAGTTTTTAGTGTTATGGGGAGGGGAGACAGTTGAGCCTATATGGTATATGTTGACAATTCACTCGTGCAATGATAAGTTATTTATTGGTATAAACCTTTTCAGACAGGGAACTTTTGACCCAAAAGTCCAACTTTCCTTGTAATCATATAGGCTCCCACACATATTTCCTATATGTCCCTATTGCAATTACGGTTACGCAAGTGTACGCTACAAAACGTTGTCTTAATTCTTTACTATCTTTTATTTCGTAATAACATATTAGTAACATGAAATAAGCATATATTTTACGTTCTTTAACAACAAGAAAACACAAGTACAGAATGCAAAGTTTGAACCTTGTTTAATCTTTTTTTAAGAGACAGATTGAACTAAAACTGAATCATCTGCACGTTTATTTTACTCTATATTTGCCATATCTACGTTTGGCTTCAGTAATATTTCATATATTGTATCAATATGTTAAGGCCTTAAGAAATTGTGTGAATTTAGACTTGTAATAGGCCTAGTCTTGGATATAATATAGTGATCTTTTGACAAATCATCGTCTGTTTGATTTCAATCATCCGTGTCAAAAGTAAATTAAAAGTTAATAGTAGTACTTCACATTAATAGTACATTATGAAAAAGAAGCAGTATCAAATACATTCAAAATTATATCAACATTTCTTTATCAAATCTGAATAGGTTTATAAAATATAAAAAATTGCGATTTCTTTTTAGCCTTTGCTATAATACACTTAAACATAAAGTTTCGCTATAAACATTAAAGTGCTTATATCAAAACATTTTTTTTTAAATCGGAAGATAAATAATTGCCTCATTAGAGGACTTATTTCACATTCAAATCTTTGCACATCAATAGAACATAAATCTTACACAAATAACACAAAAGGTAACTACAACATCAAATTTAACTTACACATATCAGTCAAATTATCAAACGAAGTTCAACCAATTCTTTTGATAAGTCATACATGTATTTTAAATTTGTTTGTATACTTTCTTTTCTGCTACATTATATTGCTATGCTTTCTCTGATTTCGCTTTCAAACACATGTTTCAATACAGAATCTCTTAGACCTTTTTCAGTTGTGTTGAGTTGTAAAATAACTTTATGTACACTTCAGAACGTTATGGCCAGGAATAAATTATACTGGCAATTACTTTCTATATGATTGTCATTGCTGAGCTATGGGCCTATACTTTAATACCTTGCATATGTAACATGTGTGTCCATTCTGTATAAATAGAATGCGCAAAAAACAAAAACAAAACTGATTCCTTCACATGAAACTTTTTGACAAGTAATCGACGTATAACATAGAAAGCATCGTAAAGCCATACTGTCACATTTTACCATCGAAAATGTATTGACATAACCTTAGCACATTATAGTACCCTTCATATTTATAATCTACACAAACATAAACGCGCATAAAATCGAGAGCACACAATCACACGCACACACACACGTACACGCATGTACACTTACACATGTGTGATGGGGGTGACCAAAGTTCTTGGAGATTTTTAAAAACATTAGGAAGTGTGATATTCGATCCATAATTTCTCATATTCTACACAAATTTATTTAGTTAAACTAGTACCGAATGGCCATCAACGTTTTTTACTACAAATTGGTTCATTAAAGGGACTTGGTAACATTGCTCAGATGAGAGAAAGTGGTGCTGAGGTAGTGAATTCAATGCTAGATGTACAATTAAAGATAATTTGAAAATTTGAGTGAAAACGAACCATTATTAATGATACAAATCGGGAAAAGCTGATCTGATCGATTCCTTAATTCTCCCAACTATATTATTACAATTAAATTACATTTTAGGTGAATGTAAATCGTCACAAGGCAATAAATTGGCTCTACATACCATTCCAGACATTTAAGTGTTGAAAGATTCTTAATAGCCTGTTTTATGTCTTTTTTTCATGGAAAAACGGTTGGGAGAATTCACTGTTAGAGGGTGTTGCACAGTGACGCCTTCAAAGAAAATCATAGATATTTTTGTGGTTTGAGAATTTTTTCTGGATTTTTGTTTTGCATGACAGAGGGTTAGTACAGTAGAAGGAATATAATAAGTAACATTTTATACAAAAATTAGCAATTTTTTCATCAACCATCAACGATGTTACCGAGTCACTTTAACTAAAAAGTTTATCATCAAAGAATCTGGAAATTTCGCGATCTAAGAATTCGATGTCTTATTGGAATGCGCTGAAACTCAAGAAAGAGTCATTAACAAAAACAAAACCTTAATAATGGTTTAGTTTTTAAAAAGCTATGCATCGCAGCCCGGGGGGGGGGGGGACTGAATTGTACAATATTCTTACAAAGTATTTACATGGTAAAAAAGCACTAAGAATCATACAAATACAAGTACACAATCTTTATGTAATTGTATATAACTCATGGGGGTTATACACACGTGAGAGACTAGTATTAAATGAGAAGTATATGTTTAACATGTACAGATGACGGTTCAGAGAGAGCCAGAGCGAGAGAGGGAGATAGATTGACAGAGAGAGAGAGGGAGTGGAGAGAAAGCTAGGAGGGGGAAACAGAACGAAAGAGAAAGAGACAGAGAGAGCGATATAAAGTGAGATAGAGAGAGAGAGAGAGAGCGAGAGAGATATGAATCGACAGAGAGAGGGGGAAGAAAAGGAGACACAGAGGAAAAGAGAGAGAGAAAAAGAGAGAGGGCGCGAGAGAGGAGAGAGACAGGGAGAGAGGAAGGAGTGATGAAGAAGAAAAAAAGGGGATAGGTGATCATCTACAAACATTAGGGACTTTTAGATTTGCACGAAGACAAAGGTGGATTGCTACGATCGACGTCCTTTTAATGCACTGCCTTGAATGGACGTCACACGTATCAGTCCACGCAAATCTAAAAGTCCATATTAATGCTATGAAATAACACTAACATTGGTCAATCAGAAAAGAAGACACAGAGGAAAAGAGAGAGAGAGAGAGAGAGAGAGAGAGAGGAAAAGAGAGAGAAAGGGAGAGAGTGCAAGATAGGAGAGAGACAGAGATAAAGGAAGGGGCAATGAAAAAAAAGAAGAAAGGGAATAGGTGGTCATCTACAAACATTAGGGACTTTTAGATTTGCACGAAGACAAAGGTGGATTGCTACGATCGACGTCCTTTTAATGCACTGCCTTGAATGGACGTCACACGTATCAGTCCACGCAAATCTAAAAGTCCATATTAATGCTATGTAATGACACTAACATTGGTCAATCATGAGATTGTACTGATGAATGTATTGCTACACACCGGACCTCTTGATATCCACAATTTCATATTTTGTGTTAATACCTGCACCTCTAGATATCTTAAATATTACTTTTTTATTTTTTTTTCTTAATTTCTACCAAATGATCATGAAAAAAGAATAATTTTCAAAAAGACATATACTGAATACATTTTTACATACTGAATTTAATATTACATGTTTTTCCGATAGCCTGATTCAGCACTCTTGTCTATTTGGAATTCTCTCCCAAAACATGTCAAAATAGTTAAGAATTTTTCACACTTTAAAAGTGTATTAAAACAATACCTAAAGCGTGAATCCCTTCAAGAACAGTAATATCAGTTATCTTAAATCACAGTTCATTATGTGTAGCGCATGTTTTTAAGATTAATCTTGCATAATATACCGTAGATCATTGTTTGCTATAAGTTCTAGAAATTTTTGTTGTTGTTTATGTTATATTATTTATTCGTAATATTCGTAGTAGTTATTAGTTGTGATATTTTATTCTCATGCCGTACTGTACACGTACTTTATAGGACCCCGTTGGAAATAAGCCTTTTCCGGCTTTCATGGGTTATCCTGTCAATGTATCTTCTCGTTTCTTTTTGCTTTATGTAAGCATTCAATGTTCTATACTTGACGAATAAAATCAATCAATCAATCAATCAATCATACAATAACACAAGTTAGTTCAGTTGGCTCTGATCCGACCATCGTACAGCGTACAAGATGTAGACTCATTGTAATATCGCTGCATATCCGAACAAGGCTTTATTTCACATGTCCAGTGTAGACGCATACAATCCTTCATCCAAGTCATTGAGAGACAGGTAATTCTGTGAAAAGAAAAAAGAAAAGCTGGAGAGGAAGTTGCAAGGATAAGTTAAAATTTCGGAATAATACAAACGGATATGTAATTAGGAAACTCAATTCTGCATTAGACATATAAGAAGAAGGTAATTCGAGTCCATCTTACATGAGTCTTTTCTAGAATCCTTTCCAAACTCTTGAGGATCTGATGAAAGTTACTCCGACTTGTAGCTTCCTTCTCCCAACAACCAGACATGACCGTATACCTGAAAGATACGAAAAAGACGATCCTCATATAATAGAAATCGAATAGAAAAACTGAAATGAATCTAATAAAAAGAAATACACAATTAAGACAGATTCAAGGCTTGTGTGCAACAACATTTTTAATATTTTTATTTCATCATTTCATGCGCACACCCATTCCGAGTCGCTTCATTTTAACTAGGAGTGTTGAGACGTATTTAGATTAAGATCTAGAGCAGAATGAACTTGTATCTTGTACTTCGGGAAATATATCCGCATTTGAATCTAACAACCAATTATAGCATCGAGTGAGTCAAGAAAATTATGACATTTACGGAACGATAAGAACTAGACAAAGGAAAAACTGCTTAAATAAGGATTATTTACACTTCCTGTCCACAATGACGAGGGCGTGGCATCTGGTATCCATTGGCAACCTCCTTTTGGACAGTGTCAAAGGTCATTTTAGGGTATGGCCTCGCACCTTTAAGAATCAAAGTAATAAAACATGTCAAACATTTAATCCATTGTATGAATATAAGACATAACGGTTTGGATAGTACTGTCTTCTTCATATATATATATTTTGTTTCTATCAACATTATTTTCATAGAACAGGCGGAATTAGTGGACATTTAAGACTAAATGTTATTCATATCTGTGACATGTATTTTAATAGGAACAATGCAATAAATCAAAAATCGTTATTGGTGGGTCTTAAAGAGTAGAATAAGCAGTTTTTGAATTCTTCATCTCTAAAATGCATCAAACAAGTATATTAGTCATGATCTATTTTGATTTGTTTTAAGTGCAATTATTTATTCAACTTTTCTTCATAACACCATATGATACACGTGAAGTGGAGGGGTTCGTGGTATAGTGTCTCATTCTCTTGAATCTAAACCCAAGGTTTGAGGGTTCGAATCCGGCACATACTTCCTTTTGCAAAAAATTAACCCTTATTTGAAACTCTCAACCCACTCCACTCCACCTGGCAATAATATTGCAAGGGTAATAATAATGGCAAGGCCCTGATGAAGAACAGCTGTAACGCTTAAAAGGCTTCCTACGTGAAGAACTTCATGGTCTTTAAGATGGTACACAAAATTATATGCGATATAAACATTATTTGTTCACCTAATGTCACAATTTCCCACAAGACGATACCAAAAGACCAGCTATCTCCTTATGTTGATTGGTCACCAGTTACCATGGTTTCAGGCGAACTCCATCTAGTTGGTTTCTGACATGTTAGAAAATATACAGAAGGTTTAAAATCGTGTTAACTTTTAAGTTAGAGGTGATAATCATTTATTCGTGGCTTTAAATGAATCGTGATTAGCAGACAATGGCTTAATTGTTTTCAATTTACTAGCAGATTTGAAAATACATCAAAAACAATATTGCATATGGCAAAAATGAAACAAACACCACGGTTAATAAAATCGCTGATAATCAGGGTGTATAAATAAACCATTATGGGGAAATTACTAACGTGATAAATCATGAAACACATAATTCCATGGTGACGTGTCGGTAGTTTCAAGATTTTCCGATATGTTCTGTCAGTTAAATATATTGTGGTCCTCATTAAAGATGTGCCATCCATCTCTATGCTGATGATAATTATAATCATTAAATAAGGTGATAATACTCACACCTCTGCCGCTAAACAGTGATGAAGATAATAATCTGAGTCCATAATCTGATAGCTTGCATTGCTTTCTATCAGCTAGTAACACATTGTGAGCGCAGAGTGTTCCGTGGATGATCTTTGTAAAGGAAAATAGAAATAGATAAACAAAATGATAACAATAAATAAATAAATAAATAAAATCCACAATTATATAATCTGGATGTTTTGTATTCACCTTTGATCATCATAACCATCCTCACACCATACTGTCTTACTCCTCTCCCATTCTTCCACTTTCTTCTTCCATTTGTGTAATTCTCATCCTTCTCGTATCCCAACTGCCCTCTCCCCCTCCCTTCCCCCTTTCCCTTTGTTAATTCTCTTCTATTGCAAGTCATGAAATAAGGTTACCTTCTTTGATGCAAGATAGTGCATCCCTTTTGCAATTTGCCAAGCCAGGTTGAGTAGACTACCTTCATCGACACGAACTCCGTTTGGTTTGAGTTTGCCGTATGTTGGTTGGGATTGCACCCCTGTGGTCTGTAGATGGGTGAGTAGGGTTCCCCCAGAGATGAACTCATACAGAATGCTACCTGCATCATCGGCAATTCGTTCAATTGAAGAAATAAATGTATGAAACTGATTTATAACATAATCTTTCATTAGACATCACGATATAGTATTGGAAACGTTTGGGTTTATTACTAAATACAAATGACTGTTCTTCCAATACCCTCTTGTTTTACTGATTGAATCGTTTTGGGTTCTTCAGACGCGAGTCTACTTAAATTGATACGTACCTTCAGGCAGGATAGAATAGCTATACTGACTTGAATACAAAGGTTGCGCTCCACATTATTAAAAAAAACGCTCATATTCAAAATAATATGTATATAATTAAACAGACACTCGAAAGATTATTAATTGGTCGAAGAGATGTTTTACCTTGTTCTTGACAATATCCCAGGAACTTGACAACATTAGGTTGATCCGGTAGCTCAGAAAGGACCTTGACAGCTCGAAGAACATTCTTTGATTTGGTCACTTGATCTAAGAGAAGATACATTTTATTTATAACTATTGTGACTATTTGGGTTTTCAAATTCGAAGAGAGTGGTGCGGTAAAGTTATTTTCAGAAGTCAATCATACAGTTGTAAATACAAGATCGAGGTAAAACGGTTTAGACAAGTATTTATATACATATAGTTAACTGTTCAAGCGGGGTTTTACTTTATACGTTTGTTCTGGTCATACTGAAATACAACTTTCTAGAAAGCTGATGGCATCTCTGTTCATCAATGATAACACAACATTTCGTAAAGTTCCATGTTACTTTAGGCTACATTGATATACATCAAAGCGATTTGCCTTTCGGTCTTTTTACTCATTATTATTTTGTATAGGGAGTGGTTGGCAAAACCTCACCTGGAATCTGCCTGATAGCAACGTCTACTTGGATTTGATTCGAGCGGAGTTCTCCCTTCCATACCCCGCCGAAGTCACCCCGTCCAATTGACCCGAGTCTGGTGAAGAACGTCACGTTTTCAGAAGCAATGATGGAAGAGTGGGCTGGACCGAGTTTGAGGGCTGTGTATGCTATAACACAAAAATTAAATTATTATTAAAACGATTGTAATACTTCAAAGATCAAATTCAAGCATTCTTTCACACTCTAAAACAGGGATAAGGCTACACGCCTACCCTTGGATAATCTTTTCTAGATTTCTTTCGAATATAAAACGAAAGTGAAAGAGTATTCACCATAAACTAATAATTGTGTGCGTATGTATGCGTGTGTGTGTTTGTGTGTGTGCTTGTGTGTGTGTGTGGGAGGGCGAGGTGAATTTGCGATATTAGAGGTAAGTTTTAAAACCCCTGTTAAATTAGTAGGCCTAGCAAAAATCTGATAAGAGAGAATGATTAAGCTTATAATGTTTTCTGTGGAATGTCTTAATTACTTTAATTAATCAAGTAATACCCTTGATAGTTACGATGTATTGTGCAGTTTGGGAGAAAAATATTATCATTTAGTATGGTAGTATTTGTGTGGTTGTGAGACGTTATGTCTACGTTTTATGGCAATTCACAACCCTCTTTATTTTGTGGGTAAATGTTTACTTCGTGATGAATCTTCGTGGTACTAACGCTGACCTCGTTGTAAACTCTTGACTAATTTACACATTTTCTCACCTCTATCTCCGTTCTGAATCATCTCATACGCCATGTTGTCGTTTGCCTCGTGGGATACATGTCCTTCTTCTCTGTGAAAAATAATGAAAAAAATCGATACTGAACAAATGACCTTTCTGCCCCATCCTACTATTCAGAGCCATCTATACACAGAGTTTGGTCAACCCGATTCGAGTTGGACACAATATGGCGACTACTGCTTTGTTGAGCAGGCACAAAACAAAAAAATATCCGCCATGTTGTGACCCAGTGAAACCAAGTTGGCCAAACTCTCTGCTACTATTTATTGTACAGCGCCACCTCATGGCCATCTCACCGGACTAATTTCCAATTACTCGTTTTAGAGCAGTTTTGTTCGTGTTATGTGTTACAGTACATAGGTAATCAATTTCGTTTCCCAGATTATGAAAAATGTCTTCATTGTGCATTCAAATGAACTACTTTTCAATGCCCTTAAATGTTGATTCATATAAATACAAACTCGAGTTTCACTATACTTTTTACATATGTGACACGTTAACGCATGAATAATGATATCATCCTTAATTTTATTGGGTTTCTCATATTTCACTACATCCGAATATTGGTGTGTGTGTGTGTGTGTGTGTGAGAGAGTTGTGTGTGGGGAAATGGTGTTTGTATAAATATTTCGAACTGCTAAATACTAACCTAGAAGCAGCTTTCAGTGACTCTTCAAATCTTGTAAAAAGAAAAAGAAAAAGAAGCAAATATGAATGTTTACATAATTTGTTTGTGCACAAAAGAGGTATATGGCAAATTTATCAACAAGGAAGTCAAATTTAGTCTAAAGTATGGATTTCTATCCTAAGGTATTGATATGGGAGGATAAATTCGTTTAAGAAAGCGATAGATGTTATGATATGCAAGAAAATACTTTCGCTATCGACTTCCAGTATTATGTTTCCTTAATCTCTTTAAGCAGTACCAAGTCAGGTCCCTTGCAGAGGACTCAAAGCCGTCATTTCTGTGATTGGGTATTTACAAGCAAACACATGCCTTCTAAGCATGCAGTGAGGTAAAACAATCATGAAACAAACATGTACATAGCTTATCTTCGTTCTAATCCCATCTTTCAAAGTTGATGAATATCATTACCTGGTCTGGTCTCATGTCTCCTCAACATGATGAATTGAATGATGTTGATGATGACAGAAGCCACTAACAGGATGGCTAAGACAGCTATACCTGCAGAAGCCCCAGAACTCAGACCAGTTGGCACACATGTACATGGTGTGGGCTCTGGATGATGAGCAATGTTTCATACAAGATCTAAATACACAAGTTCTAGATGAAATCATCAAATCTGTGATTAGTTTTCTACAACTACTCAGCGGTTGTATATGACACATTCTAACGGGACGAATGCTCCGGATCCATTTCATACGCTAACCAATGATGCTTAATCTTAACCCTTACCCTCAACCTAACCACAAAATCTAATCGCAACCGTAACCCTTACCCTAAACCTAAACTAAAACCAATCGCAATCGTAACTCTTACCCTGAACCTAACCTAAAACCCAATCGCAGCCCTAACCCTAACCCTTACTCTAAACCTAACATAAAACCCAATTGCAACCCTAACCCTAACCTTTACTCTAAACCTAACATAAAACCCAAATGAAACCCTAACCTAACCTTAAAAAAAAATCGCAACCCTAACCCTTACTCTAAACCTAACCTTAAACCCTACCGCAACCCTTACCCTTACTGTAAACCTAACTTAAAACCCAAATCGCAAGACGAAAATACATCGACTAATATTATTCAAATTCGAATTATAGAAATAATATATAAATTCACAAGAAAATGGTTTCAATTCAGGAATTTGTTCAAATAAAAGGATATTTGTATGTATTTGTTTCCAAATCATTAGCAGTGGTCACAACAAAGTGATTGTATAGCCCAATAATCAAAAGATAATATGTGTATTTTGTATTGTTTTCTCTTACTTTTTCCATGAATATCAGAAATACATTATTTAAAATATGTATGTCTTCTGTTAAAACGACAGTTCAACAAATATTTGTATCTTGAGTATTCAATTTTATTTATATTATAAATGTAAATTACCATAAATATATTATGCTTGTTAATTTATTGCAAATGAAAATCAATAAAATTCCTGTGGAGGAAAAAAGTATGGAACACTTTAAAAATCAATATTATATTAAAGCTAAGAATTTAAATACAAACGCAATGTTTGATTAAACAAATTCACTGCCTATTTGAATCTATATTAGTTATAAATTTAGTATAATTTGTTGGTAACTGGCAATAAGCATTTGTGTGGATCGTAACGCTCACAAGTATTTGTTTTATAATGATAATACATGAATTAAATGAATGATGATAGAACGGAAGAACAAAAAGATGGACATACCGGTCGTTGTAGGAGGGGTGGTTGTTCCTGTTTATGGTATGGGAAAAGAGCAAAAAGAAAATAAAACAAATAAAAAAGGGAATGTTAGATTAGCTGTTTGCATGACACATGCAAAACCTTACCCGAGAAAATATGAAGTTATGTTCATATACATTGGTGTATGTCGGAAACTATTGAAATGAGCTGTGCTACATTTGTGTGCATTACGTCTTTTACCTTTGTATCCACCATATGGAAACGTTGTATCATCCGCTCAATCTAACTTGCGTGCATAGAACAAATAAGCATTTTTCCATGAAAAAGTGAAGTTTTATAAAATGTGCGTTTCTGTCCAGCATTGGGGCGCCCGGGAGTCACTCGGGTCACATTTCATAAAGTATAATACAAAAAGACCATATGCAAATTTTCTGTTCTTTTGTCGGAAAAAATACATTTATGAAGCACAATGTCGTCTCTTTTTGCGTTGGAGAAGAGCAAATAGCGAGTTTCAATCACACTTTGGCCGCTCTCGCAAGCTCCCACTCGTTTCACTGTGGTCAAGCGACTTTGGGGCAAGCGGTTAATGGAAATACTAATCGTTAGCTTTCTTCTGGTATTAAACTTGTTTTGATTGATTGTATAATTTTGTCGGAATAAAGGAAACAAAAAGGCTCGACCAATAACTTATCAGCGTTTGAATTGACCTTTTGACCTTGAATTCCCTGATGAAAGCGCACTAATGACGTTATCTTCGCTAAATCGGTGTCTTTTATCGTAAATTGCGACACTTTCACAATGTTTATACATCTTTTTTAATTATTAGTAAGATATAACATATTTTTTCTGATATCACTGAAGTTTTGGGTTTTATATAATGAGTAATTTTAAAATAAGAGCCCTTTTACTGTTTTAATTTACTGGATCGTACCATTAAAGCCGTAGGGTATAGACAGATGCATTTTCCAACCGCGCCAAATTTAATTTACGTTCCGACATTCTGTTAAATGGGTTGGTGTTGTTAATAATCCACTGCTTTCTGCTCCAACAAACGTCCACATGCGGAGTTGTTTATCTACTAAATTATTCAAATGTATGGATGCTTCCTAGCTTCCCAGGTGTTTGTGTTGTTGAAGTATTTCATTCACCTCCTATCATTCTTTGTACTCCAATTGCCAGAACGCAAATTTCATTTTGGTTTTATAGTTTCATCGGAGTCGTTTATCAACTATAATTATGTATTCAAATTTATGAATGCTTCCTCACCAGGTGTTTGTGGTGTTTAGGCATTTCATTCACCTGTTTTTATTCTTTGTACTCCAATTGTTAGAATACAAAATGCATTTTGGTTTTATAGTATCATGCAATAAGTAAGTCAATAAAAGAGTATGTTCTGCACAATAAAAACAATGTGTGTCCCTATTGTACAATGTAATGTGTCCCCTCATTTTCTAAAGGTTAATTTACGCATGAACATAATGGAACTACCTGCCCGATGAAGCCAGTGGCCTGTGACCCCTGAGCACTCAACACCGTGTGGGAGTCAGTTTGGGTTAACTTCTTTTATGAGACAAATACAAGCAAACGTTTCCATATGACTCAGAAAAAATAGAAAGAAGTAGAATAAAAAGAATAAAATTTGAAACAAAGGATAAATATTCAGGGCTTCTAATCCATACATTTTTGACAACTGTGATGTATATTTCGAGAGCTTATTCACTCTCCACTCCTTTGTGTTTTATTTACATGTCAATTGAGCAGTACAGTTGTGTACACCACCCAACACTTGTGGAGGGAAAAAGTATGGAACACTTGGAAAATTAATGTTATATTAAAGCTAAGAATTTAAATACAAACGCAATGTGTGATTAAACAAATTCACTGCCTATTTGAATCTATATTAGTTATAAATTTATAATTATTTGTTGGTAACTGGCAATAAGCATTTGTGTGGATCGTAACGCTCACAAGTATTTGTTTTATAATGATAAAAATGAATTAAATGAATGATG